TTAACTATTAATTATCAATTACATATAAATTAAGCAATACAAACATCTTGAAAAGCTATTTGGAAAGAAGTTTGTACTCTTGTATCATAGTAGAGTCCTGACTGATCCTACAAAGTTTGAAGACCTTCGAGTGTTTGTTTATAGTAATTTAGAGTGCTTGAAATAACGGTATTATGGCAACATTCTTCACATACGTGCTAATTCTTCCTTAAAACACTATAAGCAGCTGCTTTGTTAGAACTTAGAGGGGATTATGTCTTTCGTTAAATCTAACCATGCAGGCCTTGAGATTCATCTCTGTTATGGATTATATATTGCCAACATAATTGATTAATAAAGGTTGAGTACCTATCTACTAAACATTAATTACTTCAGCCTCCTGTGTTGCCATTCATCACAACATATATATACCTCTCATTGATCTTTATACTTCTGTCTGATTGAATTTAAGCTTTTTGACTTGAAATAATCTTTGCTGGTTCTCAGCTCAACTCATCATGCTTAGCGTCAGAAATTCAATCCTGAGGCATATGAGATTGAAACAATCTATGGAACACCAACATGTTCAACAAAATGTCGTATCTGAGGAGTCATTTTTATTAATTTAATTTAATTTAATTTAATTAATATTTTAAAAATAATATTTTATAATTTTTAATTCTACGGGACAGAGAAAAGACAAAACAAGCATGCATATAATTCAACGTACGGAGCGATTAAGCTGGGAAGATGATCAAGCAGACGATGACCTGTTGACATGATTGATTTGAGAGCATCCCACGTTGACGAGAACAGTCCGCACGGGATTTAATGATGGAAAGGGGATAGTTGGCCCCATAAACTTTGGGAAAATGTTAAATATGGTACATTAATTTTTGTTTTCTACAAAATTTTATTTTTAAAAGTTTAAAATATTGGGACAATTTCAAATAGGTTAAATACCTTTTTTGATCCTTCTACTATAGGAAAAAGCCCTCTTTTGATCTCTGTACTGAAAAAATTTCTTTTTTAATCCTTAAATTTTAAATTTTGATTTTTTTTTAGTCATTCCGTTAAAATTTTGCTGATCTGTCACGTTAATTAATGGAATTATTTCATTATTTTTTATATAAACAATATTATAAATGACATGTAAGTTACATGGACAATTATAAATAACGTGGACAAAATTATAAATACATATAAACACTTTATATGAATATTTTGTGTCACTTATACAAATTATAAATTTTACTTTATTAATTTATGAATTAAACATAATTAATTTTAATCTTTTCATCTTCTTCCTCCTCTTCTTCTTTGGAATCATCTTCATCATCTTGGGTTCCTCGTGGAACCCAATGCTGGGTTCACAAGGAACCCAGATTTGGGTTCCTCATGAAACCCAGCACTGGGTTAGCGAGGAACCCAGAGCTGGGTTTTGTTGACTCAATGTACTCCAAGAGGGGGGTGAATTGGAGTTCCAAAACTTTTCCCCTTTTTCAACCACAAAACCCAAATTAAGGAGAGTAGAGAAGAAGAGCTTGCACAATAAATTTATAGAGGTTCGGTCCAACCACTTGGAGCTTAGTCCTCTACCTTGGCTTCACTCACCAAGGATTTCCTTCACACTCTTCACTAAGAAAGACAAGGGTGGCTTAAAGGAGCCACTCAATCCTTTTACAACAAGATGAGTATTTCTCTCAAACCTCACCCCTTTACAATGTAAGCCCCACAAATCCTCTCATTAGATCACTAAAAGCACAAGAGAAGGATTACAAGCAATGATCACTCAAAGATTAAAAACTCAAGTTAAAGCTCAAGTAGGTAGGTAAAGATATTCAATGCAATGTTCTCTAAACTTGTTCATATCTGTTACCAACCACATTTATAACCCCTTGCTCGAAAATAGCTGTTTCTAGTTGTTGGAGGTCATTAAATGCTCTGCAGGACGCATGGCTCGAGTTGCAGAACTGTCAGGAGAGTCGGCTTAACTTTCTAGAGTCGGCTCTGCATAGCCGGCTCACCATTTCTACAATCGGCTTTGCGGGATTCCTGCACATTCTGTTTTCCTCGAGAGTCGGCTGCAAGACTTTGAGCCGGCTTTGGAACTCCGAATTTAAATACATTAAATATTCTTCAAAAGAGTCGACCGTTGTGCATTAAATGCACCCTCACAGCCGGCTATAAAGTTGGAGCCGGCTTTACGTCTTTTCTCCGCGGGCACCAAGCAACGATCTTCAAATTTTTGCCTGTAGAGCCGGCTGCAGCTTCTAGAGCCGGCTCTCTACACTTCCATTTCACCAGAGCCGGCTGCAACTTTTAAGAGCCGGCTCTCTGCACATTTTGAATCCTTTTGGTCTATTTTTAGTGCAATCCAAGTTTACTTGTAATCTTTTAGCAACTTAACTACACACTTAAATAAACCAATTAGTCACTCAAATGTGTTTTGTAATCATCAAAATCATAGGTACAACAGGTTTCACACAAACCCAGGTCTGGGTTCCTCTCGAAACCCAGCATTGGGTCCGTGGGAGAACCCAGCACTGGGTTCCACAAGGGAACCCAGATCTGGGTTTCGCACGAGCCCAGTGCTGGGTTCACAAGGAACCCGGATCTGGGTTCCTCATGAAACCCAGCACTGGGTTAACGAGGAACCCAGAGCTGGGTTTCGCATAAACCCAGGTCTGGGTTCCTCTCGAAACCCAGCATTGGGTCCGCAGGAGAACCCAGCACTAGGTTTCACAGGGGAACCCAGATCTTGGTTTCGCACGAGCCCAATGCTGGGTTATGATTTTGTTTTTCTTTTTTATTTTAAGTGTATCTATCCAAAATGAAAATAAATTTTCATATTCAGTTTTGAATTAGAGATGTTAAGTTCGGGTTCATTGCAAAACCCAAATCATGTTTGATGTTTGAGTTTGAAACTGCAAGTGATAAGTTCATGTTGTGTTTATGTTGCTATTAACTTCATATTTTTTTTCATTTATGCCCTAGATTTAACTAGAAGAAAGGGTTGAAAATTTGAAATTATCAATTATATTGATCAATCTCACATGTAAAGAATTGATTATGAACGAAAAACAAGAATTTCGAAAAAAGGAAGATGATATTCAGAAAGGGAATTGAAAAAAATGGAAAACTTTAGAATATGGCTCTCATTTTAGGGTTTTTTTTTTTTTTACGTGTAAGCATTTTTACATTGTGGAATAGCCATGTCACACTCTGAAATTGCCATATCACACTCTAAAATAGTCATGTCAGATGTTTCCGTTAATTAACATGACAGGTCAGCAAAATTTTAACGGAGAAGTTAAAAAGGGGTCAGATTTTAAAATTTAGGAACAAAAAAATGTATTTTTTCGGTACAGGGATAAAAAAAAAAGAGCTTTTTCTTATAGCAGAGGGACCAAAAAGGATATTTAACCTCTCAAATACATAGAAGGTATTTAGGAACCAAATAAATGCATCATGTCATTCTTAGTAACTAATTCTTAAGAC